TTACCTGTAGTAGCATTTCATATCATCGGTAAGTCTGTTTTTAATAAATTTTTAATTTTCTTTTTACCAAAATGATTCATATGTTAATCGATGATCGTAGTCCAGCTACTGGCCGCAAGACATCAGCACGTTGAATAAAATTTCAGTATAAAATCAAAACGTCGTAACTTGCAATAAAGGATTAAACTTTCAACGATATAGCGACTGGGTACAGTTTAAATTACATTAACAATCCAGAATTTGTTACATCTTTTTAAATTAGAAATTATGACCAATCATTATCAAGATTTCGTAGTGTTTATCATTTATTTGTGTGTGTTTTGGCCAGTTTTGGCGACAGCTGTTCCGATAGTAATCGAGTCTGAAGGCTCTTCCATTGTCTTTTCCTCCGTGATTCGTACAAACATTGATGTTTTAAAAGTAGTTAGGTTACTTGAATTTGAATAGTAATAAAGTTTTTAAAGTATGAAATTGCCGATTTGTACTGAAAATCTAAATTGTTTATTTTTTAAATTTTTAACAAATTTATTTAATCAAAATAGTTGCCATTATTATCTATACATTGCTGCCATCTAATGGGAAGGTTATTAATGCCTTTGCGATAGAACTCCGACGATCTAGACTGCACAAACTGTGTGAAAGCATTTTGTACTGCCTCCTGGGAAGAAAACTTCTTGTCACGTAGATAATTGTCCAAATCACGAAAAAAATGGTAGTCCGTTGGAGCAAGGTCTGGTGAATACGGAGGATGACGAATGGTTTCTAACTGCAGTTCCTGAAGGGTCAAAATGGTTTCTCGTGCTGTGTGAGGTCTCGCGTTGTCGTGGAGCAATAATGGTGAAGATCGATTCATGAGTCGGGGCTGTTTTACTGATAGTTTTGTCAACATGGTTCGGAGTTCGGCACAATAGACATCTGCCGTTATTGCTTGACCAGATCGGAGAAAACTATAGTGAATAACACCATGCTGAGACCACCAAACAGTTACCATTACCTTTTTATTGGTAAGTTTTGCTTTAGGACACTGTTGTGGCATTTGACCTGGGGTCAGCCATTGCATTTTTCTTTTCCGGTTATCATAAAGAATCCACTTTTCATCACATGTTACAATTCGATCCAATATTCCTTCATTTCTGTACCGGTTCAACAAGGCAACACAAGTTTCAACACGCGTTTCTTTCTGCAGATCAGTCAAATCATGAGGCACCCATTTTTCGTATTTTTTTATTTTATTGATTTGACGCAAGTGAGTCAATATTGTGGGTAAGGTAACGTTAAACCATGCCGCTAATTCCTGGGTAGTTTGACTAGGATCGGCTTCCACTATCTCTCTTAATTCATCGTTACTCACCTGTGTGGGCGGTCTTCCTCGTGGCTCGTTCTTAAGTCGAAATTTCCATCACGAAAGCGTTTAAACCAAAATCGCACGGTGCGTTCATTAGTAGACCCCTCTCCAAACGCAGCATTGATATTGCGGGCTGTTTCTGCCGCGTTAGTTCCGCGTCGGAACTCGTATTCAAAAATCACTCGAATTTTCGCAGTATCCATCTTTCTTGTCTAAATTAAATAACAAAAACAATTGAAAGTCGATATTCAAATGTTTCAAATTAAAAAAAAAATCACAGAAACCATTTGAAAAAAGTTTCATTCGAAAACCTCAAACCATGAAGATTCTATGAAAATTCAAAGAACCTATTGCAATAAAACGGCAATTTCATACTTTAACCCCTAATATTACTGGTCAGTTTTAAATGACGGTGCTCGCTTCGGAAGTTTAGTAGAGAGTGGCGACGAAAGAAGAAAAGGTATTAAAGAACGATTCAAAATTAAGTGGCCAGGAACCAGAGAAAATGGTGATAAAAACATGGGATGACGATGAAAGGGTCGCATCGTCCCAGTGTATAATGGTCTGGCCACACAGAGGCGGTAGCGAGAACGTTCCGAGCCCGGAAATTTTTGTAATGGTCCTATGCACCCTGCCAGAAAATTAGAAAAAAAAAAATAGAAAACGGGTGGTGAGCTTAGACTATTCCTTTATTTTTTTCCATCCTCCAAGGTGAGGCGACGCGGGTTGGAGCTGTACGCGATGACAAATTGACACCCATTATCGGTAATTGTCGCAAATGTTCAGGCTGCGTTCAAGTTATCGCTCGGGTGGCGGTACACCAAAGGGTTTGTGGTTCTGCAGTTTTAGCGCGCTAAAAATCGTGCAGCGTGGTCTTGTCGGACTAGGGTTGTTTAATTCGAGCGTTGTTCTTAGACTGATTAGACTTGTCGCTAAATACCTGACGGTGTAGAACGACGATGATAACTGGTGTTGCAGTTTTAACATAATTTTGAATCTGAATCCATCATAAGCTCCAAAGAATATCTAGCATAAAAAAGAAATTTTTTGTTAAGCTTAAATTTTAAAGTTCAATTTTAAAACAGGACGTGTCTAAGTATTTTAAAACAGTCGTTAAAACCTAAAACGCACTCCCATGAAAAATCTACGAAATGTGGCTTACGCTCTACGCAGAAGTAAAGAAAGTTGTCGTCCATAGTCAAGACGTCTGGAAATATTACGGCCATCTTGGATTTATTACACGATAATTAAATAAAACCAAATGTTATTATTTACGTACACTTTAATTTAAAAAAAGTCACTTAACTTAAAAATATTAACTAATACCACGTGACAATGTTACTTCACATGGGTTTTACATATTGTAGTAGAGAAATTTGGGCACTATGTCCATAATACACACACCAGCACATTTAGTGATACAAAAAATAACTTTATTTAAATAATAAAGAATTAGACATAAAGTAGCAATTAAAGTAACATCTTTTAACATCGACTAAGTTACAGCTTGAGTAAACTTTATTGAAATTATTAAAGAAAAAGGAACCGACTTCAAACTTTGCTTACCATATACATATAAACTGAAAGTAAAAAGTTATCAAAAACAATCAGTTACTGGAAAGTGCTCGAAACTGGAGTCATCCCCTTGTTTGCCACCCTTAGAGGTGGAATATTTTCTTCAAAATTTAAATGGGACCAATACCGAAGTACCCTCTTTCCAACCAAAACAAGATCATCAAAATATCAAAATTGATTCACAAATAGTAATAGATTTTGTGACTAATCAGAAACGGCTGAAATATTAATACAAAACTGTTACAGTTTTAACATTGATTCAAAGTTCAAAAAAAAATTATTATACATTTTTAAGAAATTTACAAGAACGCAATGTCAACCTCGATCCACTCCACTAAGCCTCTATTAATATAAGTTATCTAAAAAAAAAAATTGCATTATTTTGAGGATTATACTATTATAGTGTTCTTTAAGGTAACAAATAATAAAATGTATTCATAGTTTGGAAGTGTCAATAAAACTGAAGTCCATCGCCAAATTTACAAAAAAACAAAAGGAAAAAAAATTCCTAAATTCCTATTTTTTATTTAATTGCGGTAAACAAATTTGATCCAAAGGTCATTGACTTGCACGGCACTGCAAACATTTTGAACAATGACCTTAAATGCACAGAAAGAAACGCATTTTAGATCTATTTGGTGGTGGGGTGCGGATAGCGACGGCAGGGGAGCGTCGTATCGAGCGCGCGATTAGTAGATCAGTCGACCTTGCTTCCCGTACTGCGTCTACGTCACGCTGACATTCCACATACATTCTATTGGTGGTTTGGTATGTAAACAAGAGTTTGTAGTGCAAAAAAGAATCGCTACCAGGTTCATCAAAACCTGCATGGTAATCCATCAAGTACAAGTGCGTGTCTATTCTTATGGCATGATGTGAAATGTCTAGTTTACGCGGAGGATACGAGCGTCGAAGTTTCTGGTTTCAAAGTTGTGGAGTCTAATGTTGAAAGGAAACTCACGTGCCAATCTCTGCATAGCTGGTGATGCAGCCACCAGCGGTAGAGCCAGGTACTTCTAGCAATACTTTTATGTAGCCTAAAGTTGGTACGTGCCAAATATAAGTTACAAAAAAACTTTTTTAGTCAACTTTTTCAATTAATGTAAATAAATAGTAAATTATAACAATACTAGTACAATCATAATTAAAAAATAGGTTAATAAGCGATCGAGAAAGATTACGTATCGCTCGGTGAAGCGGGTGAGGGGTCACTGCCCTTGCGTAGTGCACATGACTTGAGACAATTTTGCAAAACTTTATTAGACTCAATTAGCCAGAATATCGAACAGAATAATTTTTAAAATATTTTTAGATGATTTAGCATTATTTATATTACTAATTTCTTAAATATGGCGAGAAAGCAAATCAACACACTGTATACGCGATATCGAGTTCTTATGATGTGGTTGATGACTGTACCACCTCAGTCAACCAAAACGTTGGCTTGTTTGAAAAAACAAATATATGATACGAGATTTAAATCCGGAAAAATAGTTTCATTTCCTAAATAATCGCGATTGAATTCGTGCATATAGCAAATGAAAATCTAATAACTCGACACTTTCTTTCTTTCAACTGCCTCCGTGGCCGAACGGTTACCATGCCGGACTGCCACGCAGAGGTCCCAGGTTCGATTCCCGGGCCGGAAGAAATGTTTGTATGGCCTACATTTATTTCTCTCGTGAGTTTGGGTGTAATTTGTGGTTGTCTATGTGTGTGTCCATGGCACCCGCGACACAGGATTTCCCTAGTGCGGGGCTATGTTGAGTGTGTGCGTTATGTTGAGTGTGTACTTTCTAAATTGTTTCTACTGCCCGTTCTGAGTGTGTATTTTGTTACCCATAATAAAGAGAATTCCTGATTTAAGACCAGGTTATTAGTATGGTTTTGTGGCACATTACCGTCAAGCAGTAATGTGAGCATTACTGCGTTCCGGTTTGGAAGGGTAAGTGTGCTGGTGAAATTACAGGCACATGGGACTTGTAAACTTATGCGTCAGGGTGACGGGCGCAGTGGCAGTGCTCTTCAGATCTTTGTCATTTAAAGTACTGAGTGGCACTGCAACTGTTATGGACAGGCGTGTCGCATACCACCAGCCGCACGACTAGTTTCGTCCCGACACATGGTATCATAAAAAATCATTACATTTTAAATTCATTCATTCACTTATTCACTCATTTGTAGTTCACATTAGTGCTTATACGTTTTAGTGCGTATTACGCCTGTACCAGAATCTAGCTCGGTAATCGTCACTGCAGGTTAGAAAGGCTGGAGCTGTCCCAGAGTGGACAATGAATCTGTAATATAGAAAAATAAATTACAAGTGTGTTAATGACAAGATACTGACTATCAAAAACGAGGATTTTTCTATTCATAATTATAACAAACTAGTGGAGTAATTTCATAAAAATAATTGAATATCACGGTGGTCAAACATCGTGACATTCAATAAACTTAAACAAAAGGAATAAAAGTTGTTGTTGTTGCTAACATTATTAACAACAACTTTTGTTCTTTTTTTAGTCATACACATAGTCCAGCGATATTGTTAATATTTTAGAAATAGCCTGTATTAAAAAATTGTTTACCATATTTAATAATAAGTACCTGACAGCTCCATTATGTCCAAGCGACATGAGCTGGCATCTCGACGCGTTTCGAGAATGCCAAGTGCATAGCGACGTGGTAGCTTCGTCCGGGAACATGACGTAGTCTTCCGTGTGATTGAATATGGCCTGGGCGTGGTGTTCTTGTTTGCCTGCGAAAGTACAGATATAGATGTCTATGTTACAGACAGATTATAGTCGAATTTTTATTTATACTAAAAATGATCCAGGATGTTAATGTTTATTTGTGAGAAATGAGCGTAAAAACATTTTTTTCAAAAATTCATTAATTTTTTTACAAAGGTGCAAAGGTTACTTCTTTACTGCATTTGCTAGAGATGAGGTGTATAGATAAAAAGTTTTCGATAATTTGTATAGTATTATTTCTTAAAGTATGAATTTTAATCATAGGCAATGAATTAACATGTCAATGTTATTACTTTTATGAAACCTGTAAATTAATGACATAATAAATGTTTTTTTAAATTTTCTAAAATATCTATAGAAACTGCATTTGAATTATAGTTGTGTGTTTTATACCGTCAATATAATACAAAGCACTTCGCACATCTATACATCGTTCAGGATAGATCAGAAAAATAAAACTATAACAGAGAACATTTGCTCCAAAAATCAAATACATAGGAAATTTAGTGCGGTGCAAAGTAGATAGATATATAACACTTTATTCAGCATAAATACAAACAGAAACAAAACATTTACAATCACTTCACAAAGTGTAACATAAAAGCATATAGAACATATACATTATTAATTTAATACACATTTATATAAAACACATACTGCGAGAAAAACAAATATCGTGAGACAAACAAACAAATACTGTGAGAAGTAATAAAATTGTATGTACCTATGACTAAAGTTTGTGCTGAAATCGACTCCTCCTACGTAACGTACCGTATGTCGAAATTGCCAAGTTTACAGGGGAGCAGGTGACATAGAAATGCTAAATTAATGTGCAAAAAATTAATGTGTCAAAAAAAATAAATAATAATGTGGTTGTTCATCTAACCGATATCTAGGATTTTATAATACTCTGTGTGAGTTTTGCCGAATAAAACTGAGAAATATAGTCTGCTCTAATGAGCATAACACGTGACTATATTTCACTACTTTAAAACACTCCCTGTAAACTTGGCGATTTCGACATACTATACTTTACGTAGGAGGGGTCGAAATTGCCCTGATTCTGCATAAATACTGTATACCAAAAGAAGACAAACAGTGCTGGTTTTCAGCCAGACCATATGGTGAGCGATTGCAGCCCAGTAAGCCATACCACCAAAGTGCATCACACGCAAATACATAATATTATAACTAACTCTAAAACTATATGTGTATCAAGCATCGAGTATATAACCAGAAATAGAGACCAAATAAGGGCCATCCATTCCTGGCAATTCATCAGGCAAATGGGCTTTATATCACTTTTAATTATCAACTCTCCGTTTGCACTGAAATCACAAATTAGAAAGCTGAGATAGTATAGCGCCAACAACTGACCTGTGTGTACGTCTCCGTATATTTCAAAAATATTCTGTATTTATTGTAATAGAGATAATATCTCTAATGGGGGCTGTTTCATTCAGTGGTGTGGGAAAAACAACGAAACATCTAATTACAAAACAAACAGAATCACATTTCTTCGGTAATTAAATATTCAAACTAGATTAAATGACATTTCGTCTCTACTTCTGGTTAATACTTGGTGGTATCAAGTAAAAATGTAAACTGCAAAGTAAATAATGTAATAATGTAGGTAAGCAATGTAAATAATAATGTAAGTTATTGTTACAAACATAATATTTAATCATAACAATATCCACCAAATATGACCTAATGTTTGTGTGCGTTGTTTGTTTGTAAGTCAACTACCAAATTTCCGCTTTGGCGGCACGTTCGCATCCCGACGCCGAAGCATCACTTCAATTCCCCAAATTTTTTGGCGGCTGGACTGACCGAAGGATATCTAGCAGACAGTCCTTCACTAAACAGTAAATGAATTTTTTTTTGTGTTATTAGTATACTATCTAGAATACTTACCGGTTGTCCCAGCGCCTGTATATTGAATAAGACACCGACTGCTAGCCAATTCCCATAGTTTGATTGAAGAATCCAAACCCGAAGTCAATACGTACTGTTACCAGAAAATACAACGCTATTGTTATAGCTGTAAAGTTCATAATTCATAACCAGAGACGGGATGGCAGAGTGGATAATATCTATCGAAATTCTGAAATAATTGAAAATAAAAGGCAAAAAACATGTTTTTTTCTTACGTAGTTGCTAATTAAGCCTAATTACACATCAAAAGTACAGAACAAAATACGGAATTACTTCCTTGAAATATAGGTAACTAAATACATTCAATTCATTTCGATTTTTGATAATTTAGTCTACCAATAAAATACAAAATCTTTTTGAGACGATGAATATTTCGTTCATAATATTTAATGCAAATACTAGAGTTGCAACGAATATTCGGCTACATTCCGGTATTCGGTCGAATACTGAAATGGGAAAACTGATTGAGTAAAAAAAATTTCATAGATTTCTCACAGGCGGCGGTACGGCAAAAAAAGTTGTTAAAACCAAAAATCAAAGACATGTAACAAACGTATAGAAAAATTCGTGAGATGTGCTGACTCTGTCTGTAGCTCAGTTGGTAGAGCGGTTACCGTAGATTGGCAAAACAGTCGTGGGTTCGAGTCCTGTTAGATCGAAAGAAATTTTCTGTGTTCGTAACTGGTTAATATGTAGTATCAGGCATCAATAGTTCGGCCGAATGTTTGTTCACGCTCCTGGCCTAATTTTAATTGGCCTGGCTTAATTTTCGGTATCGACAACAGGCCGAAGATGCTATTCGTTGCAACCCTAGCAAATACGCTATAGTTAGGGCAGTGTCAGACTAAAGTCCTGCCTATTAACACGCCGCCACGCAGAGATCCTCGGTTTGATTCCCGGGTCGGGAGAAATATTTGTATGGCCTACATTTATTTCTCTCGTAACTTTGGGTGTAGTTTGTGGTTGTCTATGTGTGTGTTTATGGCACTGTCGAGACAGGGTTTCCCTAGTGCGGGGCTATGAGGTTCAAAAGGTTCGATAAGCCGTGATGCTCACCTTGCTGTTTCGAGTGAAGGCCACGCTGCAAACTGGTGCGCCATCGTGCGCGTTGACCAGTGTGTTGAAGCATCGGTTGGACACTCCGTCCCAAAGTTTCACTGTCCCGTCCGCACTACCGCTAGCAAAGTACTTACCGTTGGGGGAGAATCTGTAGGGAGATACGTTTGATAACATACATGTGGGATAATTAGTTGTCATGCTTCCAAATAAAATGCAGTTTTATTATCGCCCTTTAATGAATTAAAGAAAAAATATTAATCATTTTTTACATTTATCATACTTTCAATGCCTTTTTCTATCTCAGTTTTCTCTCTTTCCCTACTATCCGTTCCCTTTCACGAATCACTCTTACGTTCTATTATATGATAACTCAAAGAAGTGTTTAAAAAAAACACAATATTCGCGAAAAACTGGAAATCTTTACAATTAAAAATATATGAAATATAATTAAAATTAGCACATAAACACGTATTCTACTTTCTGTGATGTTTAACTTATGACTAAAGAAGACTGCTGAATTTGAGAAATTATAGGGCTGAATCTTGTCAAGTAGGCAACGGGGCTGGGATGTAACAGTTCCATACCCACATACTCACCGCCTTTGAATTGCCACAGGGGCAGGCAGAGACTATTAACCAGCACTTTGCACGATTTTGGCAAACCTATACATATATTTCTCAATCTTTTCATATAAAACCACAAAAGTTTCTCACCACGCATACGAGCCTTTTTACGTAAATTTTCTATTGTTATTTATCTTTTGTGGATACATTTTTATGGAGGAGAAATGTCTCTATAAACATCGAACACGCACAAAAATCCCTCGACCTGGATGGACTGGAGTGATGAAAAAATATTTCATAGATTTCTCATATGTGGCAAAAAATCCGTTAAAACAAAAAAACAGAGATCTGCTACGGGCACATAGAGAAATTTCTTAAGTCTGCTGACTTTCCGTAGTTCAGTTCGGAGAGCGATAGTCCTGGTATGGCAAAGTCGCCGGTTCTAGGCCCGCCAGATAAAGGAACTTTTGTGTTTATTCGATCTTTGTGTCAATAATAGCAACAAACTAGTGGAGTATTTTCACAAGAAATATAAATATGGTATTAAAAACATCATGGTATTCAATAAAATAATATTAGCTGGAAGCTCAGGAGGAGGGGCTTAGAGGTGGCGTGATTTCCCACTCCACCCCACTCTGAGCTACAGCGAGGAGAAAAGAAGGGACGTAAGACATGATAGTTTCTTTATTTAACTTGTAAACCGAGTAAAATAAAGTTAGGTTGCTTATTGTTACTTTTTGATTCTGCGTCCTGATTTTGATTCTAATAGAAATCGAACCGATCACCCGACCGGTTCGATCTCTATTCTCGTCTCTAGTCTCGTAAGTCTCGATATCAGATGGGTTTCTGAGCGAGAAGGTGAACTTGATTCCTACTATATCTTTCTAATTTGTAAATCAACTTTTACTATTTTTTAATATTGCTCCGATTTCAAATGTCAAAAGTTTCCAATCGGCCAGTTGTGAATCGCAAATATGCGCCTCGACTCGGAAAAGACGCAGTTTCCGGTCGGGAGAGGCAATCAAAACCAAGCTGCAGATCCTTAACAATAAATATGTCACGATTACTTACTTAATGGAGTTCACTTGTTTGGTGTGGTGGTGCGAGGGTATGGGGCAGACGAAGCACTGGCCTGTAGTGACGTCATAGAGGCGGATCACCGGTTGGGTGGTGGAGGCTATTATGTGGTCGCCCAGAGGATGGAAGGCCACGCACAGGACTTGTTCTGCGTCCTGTTCAAAATTTATTTTTATTTACTTATTTATTTTTATATAGGTTTGGAAGGGTAAGGGTGCTGGTGAAATTACAGGCATATGGGACTTGTCGGGTGTAGTGGTAGTGCCCCTCAGATCTTTGCAATTTAAAGCTCTAAGTGACACTATAACTGTTATGGACAGGCGTGTAGCTTACTGTCAAGCGCATGTCTTGTTCGTCCCGTCCCTTGATATAATAAAAAAAAACTTTAATTGTGTTGACTATTTAAAGTTTGCTTAGTTGTTATTACCTATTATTATGATTTCATTTTTTACCATGGCGCCGTTGAAAGATGGTGGTCACCACTTCGCCATGGTAGTTTGATGGAGAATGATAGACGAGTCGTGGGTTGGTAAATGACTGTCTTATATTTTGTTTGAGCTACTTATTTATACTTATTTGGTATGTGTGTCTTATGCTGATTCACAAGGCATGGTTGTTACTTTTGCTTGCACTAAGACGTGCCTGAATGTCGGAAGAGGGTTAGACATTCTGGCACGTCTGTGGCTGCTACACATTTTTATTTCATTTTTTTGTTCCTTTTGTAATTCTATTTTATTTTTGGTTTTAATTTAGCCTTATTTTTTTATCTTTCTTACTGTGTATCTTTGTGTTCTGGCGTTGTAATTATTGGTTTCTATTCTATTATAAACGGTAACATGAATTGAGCTTCTCCCATTACTATTATACAGGGTGCAATCGTTAAGTGTGCCCAGGCGATTATTCCTTAAGTATAAGAGATACCAAAAAGCTTTAAACTGATATAGAGAGTACGTTACTTAATGAATAAATCGACATCAATAACATTTTCAAAATAAAACTAGAAATATCCAAGATTGTAACATTAAACGCTCCCATACATTTAATATGACATTCGCAGAGAGCCTTCAGTTTTCCTACTGTAAGAGGTAACAATAAGTTAACAGATGACAAAACTGATAGAAATAAAGTAATAAAAGTATATTTTTGTTAATTTATAATTAAAATATAATGGCATAGTGTATTATTTGGTAAAATATGAGTTGTCCATAAAAATGAATAAAATTGTTCAAAAATTTTTTTAGTGCTCATTGGATCATTTTCATGTAAGGATTCAATCATTGTATGGGACAAAAAATCGAGACAGCGGAAGTTGATCAAATTTAATAAAATGTTATTAAATTTGTATAAATAAACTTTTTATTAAATTTCACCCACTTCTGATGACCCAATTTTTTTCGTCCCATAAAATGAAATGATCCTTACAAGAAACTAAATCGATCTCTGCAAAAAAAATTTTTATCAATTTTATTCATTTTTATGGACAACTCACACCTGACCAAATAATTGACTATGCCATTATATTTTTACTCAATAAAAAGATAGTTGTACTTTATTTATATCAGTTTTGTCATCTGTTAACTTATTGTTACCTCTTACAGTAGGAAAACTAGTCCCTCTACGAATGTCATATTAAATGTATGGAGCGTTTAATGTTAAAATTTTGGATATTTCTAATTTTATTTTTAAAAAGTTATTGATGTCGATTTACTTATTAGGTAATGTACTTTCGATATCATTGTAAAGCTTTTTCATATCTCTTATATTTTATGGAATAATCGCCTAGGCACAATTAACGATTACAACCTGTATAAGTCTATGACGTCATCCATCCCCTAGCAAATCCCAGATAATGTTACAATGGTGATGAAGAAATAACATGTGATACTTACAGTAATGGACTTATAGGCCTTTTTCGCCGAAGCCTTCGTAATATCGAATAGTTTGATGCAGCAATCTCTCGAAGCCGAAACCAATATTTGCTCGCGAGGATGAAAATCGAGAGCTGTTATCTCGTCCGTGTGATCGTATCTAGGAGATAGACACTACTCAATAAAAATGGAAGTCTATGAATATGCTGCTCCGCTGGTTAAATATAAATAAAAACAAATAAGGTTAAGAGTAGATACCTCAGCTAGAATTCAAAGCTGTACTAGCAGGGATGCTGGCTTTATTTCGGAATTCATTTTTTTAAAAACGAAATTAAGGCCATTTAATTTTGAAAAATTTACATGGTATAGTATTCGTGTTCTATTTGATATAAAAAAAATCATTGGTGTATGTAAACTCCACTCTCAGACTTGAACCGTCTGACGAAATATTTGGGCGCCGGCTGAAAGACCTTTTCTTGAAAAATCCTATATACTCCGTAAAAGAATTTATGGACTTTAAATTGTAACGAATTCAGTATTTTCTATTTTTATTCTAATTTTTACCGCATTAACATACTCTTGTATAATTGTTATCAACTTATGACGATCCTTGATGGAGAATGATATTTGATATATAATTTAATGACAACAATATTATATAATGAATTGTTAATTTTCTAATTATTGTGTGCTTTTCTTATAATTTTCCTTTTTGTCTAACGATCTCAATATAATTTCTTATACTTTGACATGTAGCGCAATTTATACTTTAATGTTATATTTGAGAAATAAATGAATCTGAATCTGAATCTAAAGTACCTATTGAAGACAGCGGCTTTCTTGTAAAATTTCGAGGTACGTTCGTGATTTTCATTTCTATTGTGAAAATATTTAGAAATTGTGTTTTCACACCGTATAAGTAATCAGTGCATATCCTCTATATTACTATATGTTTTTTTCAAAGTAATTGATTCAACACTGTTGTGCGGAATCAACCAAAGCCTTTTGAGGGTGCAAAATAGCTGCGTTTGGGTGGAATATTCTTCGTTTTTTGTTTATTTGGTTTACAAATAGCTATTACATAGTGACTAATTTACTATAGAAAGATTATTTACTCGCTGCAGACTCGTCCATAAATTATCGGAGCGTGACAGCGATATTGTGGTTTTTCTGCTACCTGCTTAGTGACGTAAGCACGTGACGGGTGCGCATGCTCATTATCGATAAAAACACTGACTTACACAGTGCAAGCTGTTGGGCCTCTGAGGATACTTACAAGGTCCTAATAACCGGATGTCCTTGTTGCTCTCTCCCAGGATCAACTTCTTCAGGTGCAGATTTGGCTAACATACGCTCCACATCCAGGATCTACACAAGAACAGGATTCAAAACAGTATTTTTGTGCATATTAAAAAGTAGTAAAATCTAAAATTTTAAATTAAACTAGTGTTTTTTCACAAACTAACCAACATTTCGGACTCTTTACGGGTGCCATGGTCATGGCAGACTGAAGAAAAAAAGAAAAAATAAGTTTGCTATAATCTATCGACCCGACAGGACTCGAAAAATTGTTCCGTGTTCCTATTTAATAATTAGAGGAAACTAGTAGAGTTATTTCACAAAATAAAAACAAATCAATAATACATGTTCATAAAAAGCGAAATGAATGTCAGCTTGTGGTAACTGGAAAGTTACCGACAGAGTGAGAAGGTTCATAAAATCTCTCACAGATGTCACTACGGCGTCGAAAGCCGAAAATTCAATGCTCTCAAATCTATAACAGACACGTAGTTAACCGATTCGACGAAATTCTTCTGCTCTTCTAACTGAGCTACAGAGCTCAAGTCGCAAGTGCGGGTTCTGTAGGTATAATAGGTTTCATCTCCAACGTATAACAACCGCGAAAATCTAAGAACTCTACACTAAGGGCTCATACACATAAACACGATACGACGTTGCGTCATGCTACGACGGATAACAACGAACAGCGTACAAATTCACAACACGACATCGCAACGTGACACGAGCCACGGCACGACGCGACGACGTCGTTTCGTAGAAAGTCACGGTGCGCTCCCCAGTGCCGCATTAATTTGATATTCAATATTCAAAGATGACAGACGATATTGAGGTTAATTATTTAATAATCCTAGTCGAGGAGCATCCTGAACTATGGGACAAAACATCAGAAGAATACAAAGTCATCTTTAAACTGTCATCGTGTAAAAGCCCTTAGATTTGTGTTAACCATCTCCTTTACAATAGAAAAGAAATAGACACTAATTAAAAGTGTATGTCGAAAAATCTGACTATACATGTATTTTATATAACACATCGCATTTTTATCACCGTTTAAGCCAGTAGTATACAGTACCTTGATACTCGCATCGACACTGCCCGTGGCAACAAGCTGACCGCAAGCGCTGAACGCGCCTGCGCGACACGCCATCTTGTGTGACGTTACGTACGCTGTCTCATAAGTCGCTGGCTCAGGGGCCAGAGACGATGCATCCATTTCATATTCGAGATCTGTTGAGAAACAACCAAAAATTATTACAGTGCCTACAACATATTTGCCACATATGCCATACATCAGGCTATAAACTTACCGAAACCAGTGGTGCCAAGCAAATGCTCAGCTCCACTAGAAGCAGCCAAACGGTCTTTACGATCCGGCTCATGTTGTAGGCCTACCATCATTACGTTGAGGAGCCTAAAAAAATTGTAACATAATTATAATAATATTCACAAGCCATGAACTTTAAGTTAAAATTATTTTGGGTTGGACATTGGTAGTAGGCTCAGCGGTGCATTCTGGGCTAAACAAATAATAAATATTCAGCTATAAAATGCTGCAGACTAAATAGGCTTTATTCGTAATGGTCATAATGATGCACATACACAAACAACTATCAAATTTAATAATAATCTCAGTACAGAGTACTAAAAAAAACCGACCTCAAAAGTACGTGGAATTACGTCTATTTGCCAAGTTTTTTTGAAATCGGTTACCAGAAAGTGCGCAAACATGGATGCATCATCGCCACTATACGAAATGTGACACAGGAGGTAATATAAATCGGTTCTCACTACTCAAAGAATATTGAGAGAAAAACGCCTTGAATAAGAGAATAGCAAACTCAACTATTATAAATGCTCCTTATAATAAAATTTAGGCGCCATTTAAAAAATTAATCTTCATGCGTGAAAAGCCACTCTTAGAGGTGGATGATTATCTTCAAAATTAAATGGGACCACTATGGAGGTACCCTCTTTCCAACAAAAAAAGAATCATGAAAATCGGTGCACAAATACCGGAGTTATCGCGTAACATACATACAAAAAAAAACATACAGTCGAATTGAGAACCTCTTCCTTTTTTGAAGTCGGTTAAAAATATATAACTGCCGTCGTGGCCGAGCGGTTAACATGCTCGTCTGCCACGCAGAGGTCCCGAGTTCGATTCCCGGGCCGGGAGATACATTTGTTTCTTTCTATTTTTCTTTACTTTCCTCTACTTTCACGAGAAAGAAATGTAGGAAAGTACATTTTTTCTACCTTCATATATTTTTCTTCTCGTGTAATTTGTGATGGTCTATGTGTAGCATGGCTCCCGCGGCACAGGATTTCCCTAGTGTAGGCCTTAATAAAAAAATAACCTCTAGTGGATATGAAAGAGAAACAATTATGGCCTTACTATAAAAAAATGATGATTGCCATTTGACAGTTACTTCTTAGGGCAATCAGGGACCACCGAGCTTAATCTCTTAATATGAAATACTGGAAAAACACTCAATTTTAATGATTATTTGATGTAACAACAGTTTATTATTGCACTCCATTTATCCAACTGTTTTAAACATTATTTAACATTAGATCTAGCAAAACTTTACTTCGTACTTACCTGTCACTGGGTGGGCATGGTGGGTCAGCATGTACAGCTGCCGCTAGAGTCGCAGCTATAGGTTGGAACCCATCGTAGTAGAGTTGGCTAAACAAATTTTATATGCCATTTGAGCACTCTTAAATAAACAAACGAAACAACATACTCTATTTTGTATTAAATGTTTTCTATTCTATTCTATTTAGTGTGATATAGCAGTTACCAGATAATGTACCCTTTTGTATAGAAAGAGTTCGTCCTGAGAATGAAATACTAGCACCTTACCTATTTCTGCCTCCAAGCAGCTATATGAGCATTATTGGGTTTTACTTTTGAGGGGTAAGCATACTGGTGCAAATACAGGCATGAGACTTGTCAACTTATGGCTCAGGGTGACAGGAGCAATGGCAGTGTCTCTCAGGACTTTGCGATTTAAAACTCTGAGCGGCAACTGCTAAGGACAGGCGTATCGCTTACTTCATATCATAAAAAAAGTTTGTATGTACTGTTAATCTTCACCATCAACCCATTTATACATCCCACTGCAGGGCACGGGTCTCCTCTCAGGTGCAGGTTTTGGGCCATAGTCTGCCACATTGGCCCAATACACGATGTGGACTTTATACGCCTTACAACAGTTGTGAATCTTTTTCAATGTGCAAGTTTTATCACTGTTTTCCTTTACTGAAAAGCTCATGTGTAAACTTCAAATCAAAGTTCGCATGTAAATTCCGAAAAACTCTCAGAGGTGCAAGCCCAGATTCAAACCCACGGTCTCCGCTAGAGAGGGGATAGATCAACCTATTAGACTTCTTTACATGTTGTTCTCATAGTTTATTCCGTTTGAACGTGTAAACTTTAATATATGATTTAGTATTTATATATGGAACTAGACATCAGACGTGACTAGGTAAGAGCCCAACCACCTACGTTTATGATGTGCCCATATGTCTGTTGTTTGCCATGTGAGAGCACATGAAAGCAGAAGTAGTCCTTGTGGCCAAAATCAGTCAGGAGAATATATCTATGATTTATTATTCATCGTATTGTTATTTTTCTTAAGATATTCAACAATTTTAAGGACTGTCTTTAATAATAATAATAATAAATTTAATCATTATAATTGTTTTATTTTCATGCAAAGAACTATTGCAAGACACAATTACAAAACTTTACTGCCCAATAGATTGTGTTAAAATAACAAACTTCTTCTTTCCAAGTATAGACAATTGAACTTGGATTTATTACATATCCCGGAGAAAGCTCTTAATCAACCAGGATAAAAGGCACGCTATGTGTTACATATACTTTAAGCTATGAGTGTTTCAAATTTCATGCAGTAACTTTGGAGCTAAAGTGTACAACAATCTCATTTTACAGTTACAAGCAAAAAAGATTTTATAGCCTTTCTGTATTATTTAATGATAAATTATTGAACCTCGTTTTAATAGCTTTTGAAATAACTGTCAGAAATAACATATTTAGGCAAAAATATTTCGGAAAATTATAAATAACCTCAAATTATTAGTTATCAATTTTATACGCAAAACTGCGTTTTTGTGGCTAAAAATAAATGACAATCAAAACGTTACTTTTTTGTGAGATGGATAAGTTAATTATCAGTAAATGTTTGATGAAAAATACTACAAAATGGCGTAAAAATGCAATACAAAAGTTAACCAACAAACAACATGATATTTACCTTATTATCATGCGATAAAGCAACTCCCTGTTCTTCACAACATTTCTAGTATCAATATCACCATTGCTTTCTTTCATTTCGCCGGTAATTTTGACGAAATAACAAGAAATTCTCAGAAAACTGAAAAATCCGGCACCAATTAAGTTGCAACAAAATAGGTTATGTTTGACAACAAGTTGGCTGGACTGTTGACATTTCAAGGTGCTTTATTTTATTAAGAGTTTTGGCTTGGATACAAGTCGTTTGAGCCATGTCTTCGTTTAATTATCGGGATACTCAGCAATATTTTCCATTGTGGTTTTAATATATTATGTTTTCACTTTCTGTTAAATAACTTGTTTCGCTTAGTTGGGTTTTTTTAAATAGTCTTAAGCGGCAGGAGTCAATATTTATGTTTTCACTTTCACTTATGTCACATTATCTTCTATCACTTTGAACAAAAACTTTGAATTTGAAATTAAAGTAATTTTTATGATTAATTCTTTTGTAATTTGGTTTAAAATAAGGAATATAGTTCTAACTTTCTTCGTCACTACGTCTTTCTTCGTTTTTTCTTCATAATAGGTATACTTAAAATAAAAATAATCTTTGTAAAAGCTGTACTTGTAACGCCAAAAGCCCGCCATCTTCGAATATTGCTCAAGGTGTTTGTTTTGTATTTTTCGTTCAAAAAGGAGTAATAACTCTTTATTATTTAATGCCTGGTATAAGCAATTTTTCAAAAATAAAATACTTCAACTACACATACGTGTCCTTTACTTTTGCAGTTATTTTCAATAAAAACTAGTGGTTAAAAAATGAAATGTTATCAATTAGAATAGTACTCTAAAAAGTAAAATCCATAAGTAAACATCTTAACCATTCTATTTTTCATAGGTATTTTCCTTTGTTTTTAGTCGAATCTAACATAGTAACACTAATTTTATTAAATTAATTACATACATTAAAATTTAAAATTAATTAAGAACCAACATATCAGTTAAATTAAATGCCTCTGATCATTCATCCTGGTGAAATATTTCATTTACCATTCTCGTAATTCCGATGACCGAAAGCTGCCCACCAGAGTGTACGAATAGGGGGATTCCTGCAATAAGCGAAACAGTATGAGATAATTTAAATGCGTAAGATGGGACATAGGATCTTGTTTCTTGTGCCTATCAAGACTAGCTCCTTCATTTTCAGCGTGGCGTTTACCTTGCGGTAAAAATAAGTAGGGCGATGATATTTTCAAGGGCGGGTTCGGCACAGACATCTACCACGAAAATATTTATAAGTCCAAACACATGATACCACGTTTTCGTTTAACTAAGGTAAATGATTCTTTTATGGGGAATCTTGTATACGTTTTTACAATAAGATTTCGGAGCATATATTAAGATTACCATTTCCTAAGTTTAAAACTTACATTGAAAGTATTTTAATTGAAAAGTCGTATTACAAAATTGTAGACTACGTGTTAAATAAAGATGTATGGGACGACAACGTGATTCTAGATTCCACACAAATATGATTCAAAATGTATACTATAGCATTTAAGTTTATTTAAAAAAAAAAGGCAATCCCTAGAGTTTCTTATTCGTTCTTCTCAAAGAGGTCAGCGTAGTGAACGAGCAGTAGCTTAAAAAATGACATTTTCAAGTGTAGAAATTTTACCTATGGAATAAATGATTCTTTAAATTTGAAACTGATTTATAATATTTATATCTTGGGGTGGTATTGGTAAAACTTCATTACTAACCATTGAGAGAGTCCAGAGAGCGGTTCTAATGGTTTCTACCTTCCGCCCTTTCCTTTACCCCACTAACCTTCTGTATAAGTCGTGTAAGGTACTAACTGTGAGGCAATTATTTATTAAGTCCACAGTTCTCAAACAGCACATCCTATATAGTACTGAAAACACTAACAAAAGACGGAAAGATACTGTCTGCCTCAAAATTGTATCATTAAAACATGTGTTTATTTCAAGATTTTTTGCTTCTTGGTCCAATTTGTACCAAGAAACACAAAAGGTTACGAAAATTCTCCAAGAATTCCTTCAAAATATGACCTACGATGATACAGAGAATTTATTAATTATCCCAAAATAAATGTTGTCCAATTTAAGCGTAATAGGTTATGATTTGCATTTCATTGTTTAATTATTGTTATTGTTTTGTTTATATTTCAATTATTATTTTTGTTTATAATTTTATCATCATTTATTCACCTGTATAATTAGTATTTTTTACCTGAAATACAGGATTCTCCTAGTTCAGATATGTGTGTTATATTTTACATTTATTCGCATAATTCGTCTTTAGTTATTCAACTGTAAAATACGTTATTCAATAAACAATTTTATTTATTTATTTATTATTTATAATAGGTAGTTTGTTATTTTCACATCTGTCAAGGGAACATTCTTAATGTCTTTTATATGGGCTTTATCGTGTATGTACCGTACTTATTGAAACATAAATTGTTAATATGTACACTATGATGTAGGATATTTGTTAATTTAAGTTGTCACTACATGGCCTTATTATATCAAGGGTGCGTTATCTAATAGGAATAAAATGAAAACATTAAAATTCCCACTAACATGGAACTATGGGAACAAAACGATATGTTTACATTACAGTGTTGATGGTTGAAATTGACTATTTTCATATACAAAGATTGAACAATGAGAATGAGAAACATTCCCTTGATTCGCTGGATTCGGACCAGCGTTTTCAAGCATACCATGCCAGACGCTCTCCCAACTCATCTCTCATCAGACCTTACGAATTTTTCTATGTGCTTGTTTTGCAGATTTTTGTTTTTGGTTTTTTGCGTGTCATTTGTCTTAGCACCATCTGTAAGAAATCTATATCTTCGCTCAGGCAGGTACCTTTACAGCTACCATTCGTTGACTAGAGATGTCACTATAAGTTTTACTACTATGATATTCAATTACTTCTTGTGATATTGCTTCACCAATTTATTTTAATTATTAATACAAAGATCGAACACGAGAAAAAATTACAAAAAATAATTTAAATCATGTTACTAAATAATCATAACATTCATTGTACTTAAAAATGTATTATTTTCACTTTTTAAGCACTGATTGGCTCTTGCATAGTTTTTAAAATGATATATTTTTTATTCAATACTGCTGTTGGATTCTACCTCCAATGAATATCAGTTGTCAGAGCACCTATAACTTAAACAGTAAATGTAATTTTTCTACTCCTGTACTTTAATCTGTTAATTATAATTTCATAAGCCACGATTCTATTCTCTATGGTACCTACTCGCTATTGATCTGAAAAATTTCAAAAAAGAGTCAAAAAAAGAACGTCGTCTTTTTAACCTAAACCTTCAAAAAAGGAGAAGGTTCTCAATTCGAATGTATGTTTCTTTTTTTTGTATGTATGTTACGCGATAACTGCGGTATTTGTGAACCAATTTTCATGATTCTTTTTTAGTTGGAAAGAGGGTACCTCCATAGTGGTCCCATTTAATTTTGAAGAAAATCATCCACCTCTAAGGGTGGCTGTTCACGCATGAAGATTCATTTTTATAAATAGCGCCTAAATTTTAGTATAATGAGCAATTATTTTAATGGTTTGTTTTGCTATTCTTTAATTCAAGGCGTTTTTCTCTCTACTTTGAGTAGTGAGAACCGATTTTTATTATATCCTGTGTCAAGTCCCGTATAGTGGCGAACTAGGGGATGAATTCGGGTTTGCGCACTTTCCGGTAACCGATTTCAATAAAACTTGGTAATTATATGTAATTCCACGTACTTTTGAGGTCAGCTTTTTAGTACTCTGTACTAAAATTATTGCTAATTAAAATATCAATTATGACGTTACTTTATCGCTCTACTAACTCTTGATTGATTAAATTTATCTAAAGGTCTTGCAACCGGCCCATAAACCTTTATAAAAGAAATATTGGTTATAAGGCGCATTTACACCAAGTCGTCAGGCGTCCTTTCAAGCCAAGAAGCTAAGATTATAAGGTGTACATAGTCGTCTGACAACAGTAGTTTGCAAAGGAAGTCGACCAAAGCGACTGGGTGCATCGCCTTCGACAAGGCGAAAAGGCGTAGTCTGCCGAAGGTCGGCGATCCAGTGCAAATGCGCCTTTGATTTTTTGTTTTGTTGTCAGGGATTGTTTACAAAATATACCTACATCAAATATCGGCTTTGTTTCATTATTTTATTTACTCGCAGAAAAAGTATTATAACCAATCATTACATAATTAGGTCTTGAAATCTCGTACCTATTCCATAAACACGGTACTCAACTCTCTGAAACCCTACGATTGCATATAAAAAACTATTTTGATATGATCGACTTATTAAGCAAAGGGTGCGAATTTTAATCAAAGTATATTGTATATTCTCTTTTGAAACCTTTTTTTCACAATACCTATACAACCACTTCAAATTATTTGCAAACTCATGGTTTTCTAACTAGAAGCCCCAAGCCTTGTGAATGAGTGACACGTCAGTGTACATTCTTAGAGCCAACGATTTAGCATATTCATGTACATTTTACGATGCTAAATTCTTGCTGTGTGTGCAAGTTTTGGTACTGAGTACGAATCGCACTTTTAGAGTGAAGTGTCCTAATTAAAAGATGAACAAAATGAGTTCATACCGTAAAACGTTTTAAAAAATTTTTGTTTATGGGGTCGTTTATCTGGAACTGACCCTTTAAAGCTCGAATGGCACTAGAGGTGGCAGTATAAACGAAAAGCGCTATAAAAAGTTTGCTTTTTGTTTTAACTACACAAGCACGCTTTAAATTTTAAGTTGTAAACGTTGCTCAGTTCAATACGTGTCTAGGGGTCGTATTCTAGAACTCTACTCAATACTCAAGTCAGGACTTGAGTATTGCAGTGAGCACTGAAAATCATACTCAAGTCGTTCCCATTAGGGTCGTATTTCCAGTGCTTGAAATCATACTCAAATCTACTCTACCCTAAGGGTCGTATTCTAGAACAGGATTTGAGTATGGTTTAAGGCCCTCGAAATCATACGCAAGTCCCTGCCATTAGGGTCGTATTTCCAGTGCTTGTGTTTCCAGTGAGCCTCCTAGTAGAGCTCTAGAATACGACCCTAAGAGTTGTATTCCAGAACTCTATTCAATGCTCAAGTCAGGACTTGAGTATGATTTAAAGCACTAGAAATCATATTAAAGTC